GATTTGACGTTCATCCATGAAGGAAACAAGACCTACTACAATGGACTGGTGAACTTCGAAAAAATGGTAAGTAATACTGGAATTTCCAATGAATACTGTGTGACATGACATGCATCCCTATTTAGCACATGATCGCCAATATTCTACGAGCATTCCGTCAGTGTAAATCACGATATGCAGGTAAATTAGTGAAGTTAATACTTTCAAAAAGAAATTTCTGCGGATTCGCCTAATTCAGTCCATTTTCAGTGTCACAAATAGAATCAAAAAAGATCTATGAAACACAGAACTTCATTCGAAATTTCCGTGTTGTCGATAATCAGCGTAGATTGATGGAGCTCTCCTATCAAATCGAACCACGTCGGCGGAGGAATTAAGCCAATGGAAATGATCGTGCTCGGATCACCGGAGAAGTCTTCAGCTGCTGCTCGGAATGAAGAGACATTGGGTCAGAACATGTGGTCTTTCTGTTGAACCCGAAATCTATAGAAAAATGGCCAGAAAGTAATAGTCTCCGATCGTATCTCTTCTGAAAAACCTCAAGAAACGTTTCTGGTACAGATGTAGGGGGTGGGGGCACTCATCTTCCTTAACAGTGGACCCTGAAGCGCAGCGAAAGAGGGGTAGCCGTGCTTACGGGCCCGCAGTGATGCCCTCCAAGGAGGTATGATGGCAGGTATAATATGCCACCGCTCATACCTCGGAGAGAAATTGATTAAAGGCCAGCTGAATGTTCAGTTCTTCCTCCACCTCAGCTTTTTCTCGAGGTGACCTTCTCACCCAACCCGGCGCTCCTCCTTTCCTGGGCCTCAGTTTGAAAACTATTTTCCCATGGCTGAAAATCATTACCAAACATCGTTACAAGCCCAGAAGCTGACTGCCTTTGATTCTCTGCTCGCTCTAGCGCCTTGTGTTAGAGAAAAGTAGTCCCCCCCCCCTTGCCCCAACCAGACTTCAGAATTCATCTTTGACACTTTAGAACTCTAGGAACGGTTTAGTCGTACTGCTATAGCTTACTCGTTGACTAGTGCCGATATAGGTGTAGTGTCATCGTCATGGCGAAGATCGTTCACTCACTGCTCTCCTTTCACTTCTAATAGACCATACCGTAGACGGTTGAAAACAAGTCAGCTCATCGTGTCAGGACCTTTCGTCTTTGACATCACATGAAGGGTTCTGGCATAGTGGGCCTTTTTTTCAGATCGCCGACCGTTTTGGGTGGACCCTCCTGCACGGGCGCTTTCATAGTTGGCTGTCAGCGAATAACATGCTCCAATACAAAGGCGTTTTGCGGCGGGCATCTAACGCTGCTTGTCCAGCGTTGCCAACGGGCGACAAGCAACGCTCCGCGCTCAGCGCTCATCGCTGTACTCTGAAAGCGTCCCCACCATTTTTGTCGTGTCACCCGATATTAGTCTTGGTTTTCAAGGATCTCATCGAATTTATACATATTTCCTTTATCTTTTGGAATTTTCATATGAATTAGATGGGTCAATATAATAGGCTTTGTTATTTTATTAAATGCCAATCTGTAATATCTATTTGATGCTCACTTCAGCTCACCTTTTATTGTTTCATTTGAATGGCCTCCGTTGGTCTGTCTTGTAATTGCTTTCCATGGCCGTTCTAAAGTTGTATTTTCAATCATGCCGGTGCTTTCTGACTCCT